CCAAGACCTATTATGATGTTATGCTACGCCATAATATTCCATTTCCAGTTTTCTATTGGTTCATGTGTAGATAATATTGTATCATGGGTTTAAATTCTAATAACACATGGATTCAGCCCAACAGTCTTGTCATAAAGTCTTTGAATGCCATTTAGCAATTGTGAGTACGATATATACACACAGTTTTATAGAACAACAATCACCGGTTAAGGTTTTATGCAACGTTTCGACGTGTTTCCCTGTCGCCCTCAGGCACATAATGATAAGAAGTGATGGGCAAACTATAGATACATGAATGCTTATTATTAAGTACCGGTATCTATAGTTTGCCCATCACTTCTTATCATTATGTGCCTGAGGACAAAGGGGAAACACGTCAAATCGTTTCATAAAACTTTAACCATAAAGCTGTGCCTATATAAAGTCTGCCTATATAATTATAGTCTGCCTATATATAGTCTTGTCATAATTACCGGTACGTAGCCTAAGCTTCAAACCCCAGGTATCCCTGATTGAAAATATAAGCATATGATATTGAGCCACTAACCTGTGAATGTATTTCTCTATCCAATAATGAAATACCCTCGGCTAATTTTCCCAGCTGTTCTGAGATAGCTACTGTCTGTATCAATCTATTAGCATGAGCCTTTACGTCAAATTCTTCATTCAAAAACTGTTGAAAAATATCTACAAAAAATAGAGATACAGTTAGTTAGTTAGTTAGTTAGTTAGTTAGTTAGCTACTATATGACCAACTTTCTAGCTGAAATAGATCAGTTGTTTGGAGACACACTTTCCAAGAGAAGACAGTTGTTTGAAATTAGGTTTTACGCCGGGTTTGAACACTGCCTTTAATTTTGTAGTGAGATGGGATTGTCTGCTGGGCATCAATATTCAAGGTCCCATAATCCATATTGGATATGCCTATAGCCCTATCCTACATCACAGGCACCTGTTTATATGAGTTGTCTCTATGAGTATAGTAATATATAGTATATACTATCATAGAGAGAGTTGACTATTGATAGAAACAGGTGCCTGTTCTGCATAGCTAAAAGACAGTTTTTTTCCCTCTTTCCACATGAGTGATTTCATCCTTGTAGTATGTCCTCAATATACAAGATAAAAATATTTTGATTCCAGAATACCTTTCACAATGTGTATCATAAATTTTTCAGAAAACTGGTTTGAATTTGTGAGTAAGCCCAGGGGAATAATCATGAAACTTTCTTTGACATTCTGATGTTGGATCATTGGCATATGAGATCAGCATTTACAGCGATCTAGCATTGATAAACAGTGTACTGTTGACACGGGAGAATTCAAGGTCCATTATCACTAAGTCAGTGACAAGATGTGAATGTTTATGCATGAAATACTTGAATTTACCGTCATTTTCCAAAACTTCCAACACATCACCTTCCATTTTGTTTCCGGAAATGGCCGAGGTCAACTTTTCTCTCAGAAATTTCATTGAAAATGGTACACTTTTACACCAAGGCATTGCCCAAAGAATTATTTTCTCAAACTAAAGGACATGTGGTATATTTAAGGCTTTATTTACAATTCATATCGTTTTTTGTAACATATTTTGAAGCGTACGGAAAAATCCGAATCAAAGGTCAAGGCTGCTATTGACAGGAAGTGAAACTGAAAGTAATGTTTACAATTTAACTTTTTAACACACGTGTCGAAACAAATATTGTTTTTATATTTTTTAGCATTATTTTAAATGAAAATCTGTTTGATGGTTTGGTAAAATAGAAGTATATATTACCAAACATAATATGAAGACTACCCCCCTTACAGCTACAGTGCCCAGTTTGTTTGAGAACTGAACAAGATCAACTTGTACTTGTAGAGAATAATGAACTGAAGTTGAACGACAGTAAAATTGAGTAAGGACAGCTGCCTATTTCAGTGTTACCCTTAGTTACAGTCATCTGCAAGGGACAATTTAACAAAATTTTGAACGAACTACAGACCCTTCATTCATCCATGGATCTCCAAAAATAGTGGGTCAGTTTCATGCAAATTTCACAATAAACTCTGTGTCTAAATCCTCTCTACCATTGTTCAATTCAACATTATACAGGATTTTAGTGTCAATGACATTGGTGTTGTAGCATTATTAATGTAGAGTTGTCCTCTGTATTGGACCAACAAAATATTCCGTGTTCAATTGATAAATCATTGAATCAATATGGAAATAGTGACAACAGACAGTGTCTCAATTGTGGAAACACCAACATGGAAGAGACCTTTAGAATTATTAAACAGTGGAGAAACTGTCAAGATTTGTGCTCCAATGGTTCGATATTCCAAGTAAGAACAATTTCTATAAATATTGAAAATAAAAGATGGGTATTAAGAGGGAGGAAATTCATAGAAACTCCTATTCAAAGCACTGCCTGAGGTCTAATAGCTGATGGATACAAGCCTAGACGTCTATTGAGGGTACAAGCATGAATAAATGAGGTCAAGGTTGGTGACAATTACAGTAGATAACTGTCATATTTAATACAGTCATTTCTCCTCAATTTTTAAGTGCTAAATGAATGAGCTCAAAAGATGAAAATAATTTAGAAAACTATTATGAATCGATCGATAACTGGAGTTACTTCCCATAGACTATGATTCATTTTCAAAGCAGTTACTTTGATATATTAATTATTTAATTTTAGATTAGCATTCCGTATGTTAGTACGACAATATGACTGTGATTTAGCTTTTACTCCAATGATAGTCTCTGATAGTTTTATCAAGTCTGTCAGAGCTAGAGATTCTGATTTCTCTACTTGTAAAGGTTTGTGATCCATTATTTTGTTAATTCGAAACCAAGCTTTTAAACGACAATGGAAGCTTCTGTAACAACACACTCAAAAACTGTATCTCCTGTGGATATTTTTATTACTTGCCGTCAGATCCATACTTTTGTTTGATAATATTGAAAGTTATTTCTCCAGTTTTTTTAATGTTTCTGCAATAATTAAAGTAAACATGTATTTCATCCCAGATGCTGAAGCTGTTTATGCCAAATGTATTGAAAATGAATTGAGGAAAGTTTTATGTATTTTGAATAAGATGTTCAAGTTGGAGTCATTTTAGAAGACTCTAATTAATGTATGCTTTTGTACATGTAAAATGTTTTCTTCATTTCTAATATATATAATAACTTTTCTTCATCGATTGCTAAACTGTTCATATACAATACAAATATAAGCAAAGAAAAACAACAACATTGAAAATTGTTCATTGTGTTTTTTAGGAGATCGTCCACTAATTGTCCAGTTTGCTGCTAATAATTCTACTGACCTGGCCACTGCTGCTGAAATAGTTTATCCGTAAGTTACATTATGACATTTTATCCAAAAACAAAGAACGGATTATGAATTTTTTTTATCTCTTTCCACAACACCTGGATATGCACCCTAAAACATTATATTTGCAGACTTAGTAACTAAAAGCAAATGTTTACAAAATAAATTAAATCTTGTGTTTTTTTTGTAGTTTTTCTGATGGTATTGATCTCAACTGTGGCTGTCCACAAAAGTAAGTTTCTAGTTTTTCTATTTTTATCAAATTCTTTTAGAATCTATATTTTGCTTTAAATAGTTTGTTGTCTTAAATTATTAAAACAATGATTTAATAAGTATTGATTCTGCTAATAACGTTGATGAAAAATTCAAAAGAGATATTCTACAAGTTAACAAAAATTCAAGATTTGTGGTCAATAGGATTATCTCTTAACTCTTATTTTGAAGCTCTATTATTTAACATGGTGTTTAGGTGTATTGAGACAAGTCTCAATGAAAGCACTGGCCTAGGTCACAGAGCAATAGATAAGCTTGATGAGTCTCAATGAAAGCACTGGCCTAGGTCACAGAGCAATAGATAAGCTTGATGAGTCTCATTGAAAACACTGGCCTAGGTCACAGAGCAATAGTTTAACAAACACAAACATAGATACACTGTATACATTGGCACCAGTCCCGAATTTTAACTTGAATATATTTCCCGAAATTCAACTTCGAAATCAGTTAATCTTATGATATAATATATTATAGGTGGGCAATGGCAGACGGTTATGGAAGTAGTTTAATCTATAAAAGTGAACTATTATGTGATATGATAAAACAAACACGAAATCGTGTTCCAGATACAGATTTTACTGTTTCTATTAAAATTAGAATTCATCCTGATATCAGGTAGGATCTTTAGATGGCTTTTAGTAATATTTCTTTTGCAGCCTTTGTATAGCCAATAATGCAATAGTGTATATATGTTATAAAGTAACTAAACTCCTTATGTCACTGTGCAACTGTCCACTCGACATCCCATTCAAAGTGTTCACATTTATTCTGATATAAAATGCACCTTCTCACTACATTGAAGTTTGTGATGAAAATTGAAACTCCTTAAAGGGATTGTAAAGAGGTTTTCTCAAATTTTTATATATATGAGGGACACTGATAGCATCAATTTGCACTATTCCAATTTTCAGTCAGACATCTGTGGTTCTTGCAATTCCACTAAAATTAAGGGATTGATAACATCACTGCATATCACATAAGGCTCTTCATTATTAGTGGCGTCATCAATCACTTAGTTTTAATGAAATTTAGAATAAAACCCTTCTACAATGCTTCTCAGAAACAGATCTGGATTGATTTCAAGGATTGTTGTTATGATGTTTTTGTCTCTGTAATAAATATTATTCAAATCTTTAAATGACATTTAGAAGTAGGTAGAACATTCAGCAAGAACAACTATTATGGATATACTACTAAATATTATTCTGTTTGTATTTATTGATAGACAAACAGTGGACCTGTGTCAGAAAGCAGAACAATGTGGTGTATCGTTTATTTCTGTTCATGGTAGAACAAAAGATGAACGAACTAATCCAGTGAACATAGAAGCTATTAGAAGTATAAATGATAGTGTAGGAATACCAGTTATAGCTAATGGTGATATTAAAACACTTCAAGATGTTAAACATGTAGTAACAGAGACTGGAGTGAATGGTAGGTTATTTCAGTTTTAATTTTTAAGGGACAGGTGCTCCATTCTTTTTGACCAATCATACTTTAGTCTCAGAAACGGAAATTTTTTAGCTAAGCCAATCAGTAATAGTGTTCACAGCTCACCAACAAAAATTGACTCTTCAAATCCATGTGTGTCCAGAATTATCCGCGTTTTAATGTTAAAATGACAATTCGTCAATTTAAGATACTCTGTGATATATAGAAAAGACATATATAGAAATAATAAGTAAAATTCCTATTTTATAGGAATAATGCAATTTTCGTACTTTTCTATTACTTCTGAAGACTATTTACATATATTCAAGACTCAAATTAACCTCTCAAAATGGTGCGTCTATCCCTTTAAATAAAAAACCCAAGTACTGACTATTCAAAGGCAAAACAAACCCTGAAATAACATATTGATATTACAATAGTTAATGAAATGAACTTATATGAGGAAGTATATTGATCATAAGAGTTAGTACCGTATTTCATAATTAAAAGTGATATCCGATTCTAGAGATGGAAGCATCAGTGGTGAGAACTAAAGCAGGGAATTTATGGGGATTCCAGCAAATAACTACCTCACTCAAATTTCTCTTACTGACCTTTGGTATTCCAATTCTTTTGTTTATGGAATTCAGCTCAGTTAAGTAGAGCGCTGGCATAATGATATTTGCTAGATGGTCATGGGTTCTTGTGTGAAGGTTTGAATACCTTGAATAAGTCATCTTTACTCATAATTCCAGTTGACCCAGATGTAAATGGGTAAGGATAATCCAGGAAAGATCAACCCTAAGTTGATATTTGTGTACAAAATGCCTTGTTTCTTCTTTACTCTCATGGTTATTCAAATTGGATTCAATTTCTCATCATTTAAAGACCTTGGACTTGTGAGTTAAATTATTAACCTCCAAAGTCAGTATTATAGAAACTTGTATCAATACATTATGTTTCAGGAGTAATGGCAGCTCGTGGAATATTAACCAATCCTACCATGTATACAGGAAGTGATGTAACATCGATACAATGTATCAAACAATGGGTATGTCTGTTTTTATTTGACTGTGAGGGTTGATTTTTCAGAAACTTAATGTGCAGATTGAGCAAAGTCCAACTCACCAGCTGAACATAGCTCCAGTGTATATTATTCTGTGAGAGATGTAGTTTTAATGTATCTACATCAGCTGAAGTGATATAATTAGTGATATTGGGATAAGCAATTCAGACAGTTGTCATACGATTGACAAAAGTGATGATCAAGTTGCATTATTGTCTATTACTTATTAGTGCACACAAGAATTGCCCAGAAATTATTTCAAGCGCTGCCTATTAAACACATTGATTCTTTGAATGTCTAGCACCTGGGGACGTAAGCCCTGAATGCCCTTTCAGTTATTAATAAATCTTATTTATTTTCTTCTACTTTCAGTGTGATCTAGCGTTAGATTTAGGAACACCATTTCCTATTTTTCATCACCATCTGATATATATGATGGAGAAATTACTCTGTAGATCAGAACGTAGAATATTTAATAGTTTAGTCAGTACTACTGGAGTCTTAGAGTTTCTTAAAGATAATTATAATATCTCCTAGCAGTAATAAGTTATATATTAAAAATGAAAACCAAGGTACCAATGAGTGCAATAAATTGGAATGAATTTTTTTAAACACAGTCTTGAATGGATTGGAATTTATTGTTTTCTATAAATGCGATGGTGAATTCAGTGTTGCCTGACAGAGTTGTTGACTTTAAAATAAAATCAAGTTTTTATCCTTTATATCTGTGTTTGATCAATTATCAAGACCGTTATCAGTGCTGAACGTTGGCCCGATGTTAAGACTGAATATCAGTTTTGCACGAAAATGGCTATGTATTCAGAAGGAAAAAGAAAATCACTATAAAATTGTGTGTTTAGGAAGAGGGTCATTTGGTCATGGTCGTCTACTCAGGCCTGTGAAAAGTCTTATTTTGAAGTGAAAATTTAGCCCTCTTAATGCTCAAAATTAATCTCAAGCCACCTGAAATCTGGGCGTCTCACAGTCCCCTGGCCTCAAAGGGTGGCATTGGGCCTCACCTCAGAGTTACACCTCCTATTTTTGGACTCTACCTTTTTTTTCTAGATACCCCCAGTAAACAGAGATATTATTTACAGCTCTGCTTTTCTTTATGGAATTGATGCATAAGAGTTGTGTGTTCAGAAACTGTATCAGGGAAAAAGACAAACACCATTTTAAAATTAATTTTCATATTTACTGCAAAAGCCCTTTTAATTTGCATTGTTTGAGAGCATTGAACATAATAAAATATAACATAAGGATGAGGGGGGATTCCATTCTAATTAAACCTAGGTAGGTGTAACTATAGACTCATAAATCAATTCTCTATTTCATACCTGAGTGATTAGATCCAGATCAAGCATCTTGGCTTCCCTTGACAAATTTCAAAGTCTCTGATACTTCTCATAGCATTGTACATTGAAGATAGTATGTCAGTAATTGACCAAAATTTTCAAGAGTTACCGCCATTTAGAAGAATTAACTCAAAATTCTTGGTTACTATTCCAAGATTTAATTAGAACGGAGCAAAATAATCTAGATCGACCAGTCATATCAGCATGGAATACACACTAGACTGGTAGATCTGGACTATCTCTAATCAATATATTGTAATCAAGGTCACAAAGCAAAGATTTCTGAAATGCAGGAATGGTCCAGGAACCACACTTTTTCTTATTGAAAAGTACTACTGTTAGAAACTTAAAGACCAAAATCAATATTCAATTCTTAATTCATGAAATAATTACAAAGTTGTTTTAAATAAGATTATACTTCAACAAAACAGAACATATCCTAGTTTCCTTAACTTATATTTTAATCTTAAAGCTGACACATTAAAGGGAGAAACAAGTATGAAAATAATTTTAAGGCAATAAATAAATTAAATCAGTTACTTTATACATGGTGAACTTTAAAATAGAATAGACAGGTTAAACTCACCAGCCTTATAATTATTATTACATTTCCTAATCAGAGGGAGAACAATAGAACAGCCTATTATTAAATCCCACAATCAGAGGGAGAACAATAGAACAGCCTATTATTACATCCCACAATCAGAGAGAGAACAACAGAACAGCCTATTATTACATCCCACAATCAGAGGGAGAACAAAAAAACAGCCTAATATTACATCCCGCAATCATAGGGAGTACAATAGAACAGCCTATTATTACATCCCACAATCTGAGGGAGAACAATAGAACAGCTTATTATTAAATCTCACAATCAGCGTGAGAATAATAGAACAGCCTATTATTTTATCCCACAATCATAGGGAGTACAATAGAACAGCCTATTATTTTATCCTGTAATCAGTGGGAGAACAATAGAACAGCCTATAATTAAATCCCACAATCAGAGGGAGAACAATCGAACAGCCTATTATTACATTCTGTTATTAGAGAGAGAACTATAGAACAGCCTATTATCATATCCTGTAATCAGATGGAGAACAATAGAACAGTCGATCATTATATCCTGTAATCAGAGGGAGAACAATGGAACAACCAATTATTGCATCCCACAATCAGAGGGAGAATAATAGAACAGCCTATTATTTTATCCCACAATCATAGGGAGTACAATAGAACAGCCTATTATTTTATCCTGTAATCAGTGGGAGAACAATAGAACAGCCTATAATTAAATCCCACAATCAGAGGGAGAACAATCGAACAGCCTATTATTACATTCTGTTATTAGAGAGAGAACTATAGAACAGCCTATTATCATATCCTGTAATCAGATGGAGAACAATAGAACAGTCGATCATTATATCCTGTAATCAGAGGGAGAACAATGGAACAACCAATTATTACATCCCGCAATCAGAGGGAGAATAATAGAACAGCCTATTATTGCCTTTAATCAAGAGTAGTTTGAAACATTTAATTTGGCCTCCATTTGACCAATAACATTACCCTATGCTTTGTTACCTATGGATTTCACATGTGAAATAACATTTTTTCTTAAAATTGTTTCCATGACCTAATTGTAGACAAACTGAATTAAGGGCAAACAGTAATATGAATAAAGGGGCACATTAACCAATCTAGAAACAGTCTTAATACTGGTGGCAAAAAAATAATTTTTTTAAAAAAACAAAGCAACTTTTCAAACAAGATTAACACAAAAACGAAATATTGCAATTTGAAAATCTAATTTAAAAAATTCAAGAAATCAATTTTTGAATTCAAATTTACATATTGGACATTTTACTTCTAATTCACAAGAAGCATTATTCAATCAATTGAATTGTGAGCAATTATGTATGTTAGGATCACTGAAAGGGAATCTTGTTTTAGCCACCTCAATACTAAAGTTTCTTTAATTCAACTTGATGGTTTTCAGAATACTTTTGTCTTGTGAATACTAAAAGCTTTGGTATTGAAGTAGAAAACTTTAAGTTGTAGGGGGCAGCAAATATATATCTCTTTACTTTTAAGTATTTTCCTTGCATTGATACCATAGTTTTATTATTCTCTATACTACAAATTGTTACTATATACCTTTATATGTGGAAAGTAGATTGTCAGTGACTACATCTCTTGCAGAAAGTCTACTTTTGATTTGTGACCAATTTTTCGTTGTGCAAGAGAGGCAAGTCCAAAAAAATGGCTTGTAATCACACAAATTTTCTACCACATAAGTCACTTAGATTTTAGACACTCATAAGATTGACTGGCCAAATATAACCAAACATACGACCCAAAATATATTGTGTCTGGTAGTAAGAAAACATTAACGGAGAATAAAATTCAAACTATAATAACAATACAAGGGAAATAACTCAGTTATTATTCTATCGTGGGTGTCATAATATAGAATTATATTACATTAGAATAATATATTATATATGGAGCTATTATACAATGGACTTTTATATATTATATTATTATATATTAACTAATATTCTTTCTTTATATATTCTTATATATATCACACTTCTTATATTAATATAACATTCTTTTCTAGCAGGTGCTTGTTTTTCAATTTGGTTAATACCTTGATCAGTGCTTACACCATCACTTGAGATCAAATATTCAGAAAAAAGTCTATTTTCAGTACCTCTGAATTATCATGTTAATTAAAATATCTATGATTTATAATCATTTTATATATGGTAGCATTCCGATTCTATTTTTGCAATTTGGACTGTTTCAGTTCATTTCACAAAACCACTTATATATTTCACAATTGCTCTGTAGGAAATATTGTCAAAATTAGTTACAAAATCCTACAATTTATTGACTTTTTCAAATTATTTATTTCTAAAGAAAATAACTTGGTGTAGTATCTAGATGAAATGAAAGATAGTGATATATTTAAGATTATAAAAAGAAAGCCTCCAATGCATCATTATCATTCTAATATCATCCTACTAACTTTCATTACTGCTTCTAAGATCTCTGATGGTTAACTAGGGTATTTTCAGGTAGTAACAGGCTTGGCAGATCTAAAGGATATAGTCATCTCAATATTTGTTACCCAACTGATAGAGCTTAATTTCAGCTGTCTGGACTCCACTCTAAAAATATTGTAGATTAACTTACGAGCGTAAACATCATAAATTAACACTTTGATTTATCTTTACTTATGTTAAGTCATACAAATTTAAGAGAAATGGGGTCCTGAACACTTTTCAGTGTCTATTTAGATAACTGTATCCCTTAGATAAAAGCATTTTTAAGGTGGTAGTTATGTTACCTCTCCTCCTCCACAACCACACCCCTGAACTAGCTGTTTTTATTTTATTGACATGTCACCATCAAGAACTAGATCCTTAGTACCAGCCAATCTCTAACAATGATCCAATCAAATTGTGTCTTTCACTTCACCGATAAATTCTATGTACAAGTTCAAATTTCACTGAAGGTCACCAAATGTTCTTGAACTTCACTGAAGGTCACCCAATGTCCTTAAACTTCACTGAAGGTCACCCAATGTCCTTGAACCTCACTGAGGTCACAATCTGATTATTACCATTTAATTGTTTGTAATAATGAATAACAAAATATCATTAGGAATCTAGTTGACTAATGAAGCAATAGTAACATCAATATCCAGTTTGCTAGAGTGATGCCAAGCAACTTTTCAATCCAAACACAAGCAACAATATTCAACACACAAGCTTTGGTGTTCTATAAGCAACAAATAACAGCTCTTGATCAAATAAGTCTGGACATTCAGAGCTTCGCACATCTTTCTAATCGAAATTGGTTTATTTTTTTTCAATCTGGATGTTCAAATCTTTATGACAGGCTGGATAATAAAGCTGGCTTAATATTCTTCTTCAAAAATCATCAAACTCCAATGTCAAGGTTGAAAAGCTCTTCCTGTCCAAATTAAACCATCTTCTAATCCAATCCAAAACATTACCATCAAGCTTTAGGCATCAGCTCAAAATTTGGGAAGACAAGGCAAGAATAATCTAAATTTTGCAAAGTTTGTAAAACTGGTGAATTTAATGTTTGAATCCTAGAAATATTGCTCACAATGCACAATAACACTGAACGAAAGGCGAAAAGTTTGTATATATACAGAAAGTGATAACACATTATGCCGAACGTCAAGGCAGATAATCTCTATTGTCAAGTCTTTTTCCTCTGGTGTAGACTATTTGATAAGGCTATGTACATTACTAGCTTTGAAGAGAAATAAATACATTCAAACAGTTATACAGTTTAAGCAGCACTGAGAAGAAAATCCTCATGAAAGCACTGGCCAAGATCACAAAGAAACTGCTTCAAATTTGATATCTTCATTGTCATGCGTATGAACATATATCCTTTACTCTAAGATTGACATTGGATGAACATGTCAAATTTCTTGGATTGGCATTTGATTGAACAGATGTCCTATATTCTACTGAACAAACAGAAATCATCCAGATTGAACATGTAAGTGAAATCGTAATCACAGAGTACAGACTTCAAATGTTAAAATCTGGTATTGAACTAGAGTCTGTGGATGTCAAGAACTGAGGATGTTAAGTACCTGACATCACTAGTAGCAACAGTAAAGCTAGTATGTACCGTAATAGTAAAGTCTTAGTCATCACATGTAGTATATTGAACAGAGCAAGTTATATACATTATATAATACAGAGTTGGTATGTATTTACATGTCCTTTATTATTCTAAATATCAATTCATTTGGTCATTCTGTAACACAAAGTAACACCATCCCATAAGTTTCTATATGCTGTCCATAATGGGTGAACAGAAAATTTCTAATTTCTTTGGTTATTCCATAACACAGTACACAGTTATAATTTTTCTATCTCAACACAAAGTTGTTTTATGCTGTTTCATACAAGGTTCACAAATTTCGTTTCCTTTTGTTCTTTCAAAACCTTCAGATCTTAAAATCACATCTAAAATGTGTACACAGGTATCCATTCCCTTTTCCTTCAGTCTTTTCCATAAACTTTTGGTCCTAATATCCCTTTCCAAGAGTGTATTGAGGCTTTTATCCCAGATTTCAATTGCCTTCCATAAACACCAAGTTCCACAAGTTGATCAGTTGTTAGCTTACAGAAAGTTTCCTTTCTTTGGTCCTTCCATAAACACCATATCTTAGATCTATGATTTACCTTTCCAATACAAGTTTATAGTTTGTTTCAAATCCAGTCGTATTCAGATTTTTACATGTCATGAAACTGATGGTCAATGGTGGTTGGTAGATATGGGTTCCCCAAGGCTCTACATCAGATTTAACAGTACTGGATGATATTGGAGTTCTTCCTTGAACATCATGAATATTAGAAATGCAAAGCGTAAAAACGTACCCTTTTGTTAACATCACAAACTAGGAAGCTAGTTTGAAAATTTATATCAGTTAGTTGGATCTGCCAGAGTTTTGGTGCCAATGTAAGAGCTAAACTGTATTTCCAGTTAGGTGTTTAAGTTTTGCAGTTATATTTGTAAGCTGTGTCTTATATGCATATCACAAGCAGATGATGTTGATGGTTTTATTGTCCTCTATCATGTAGCATGATGATTGTGCCCTCGAGTCTAAGCATTCTATCAGCTGTGCATACTTCCATACCTTAATTTGTGCAGTGTTGTTGAATTACCAAATGAATCAAGCATAATCGATGCATTATTAACTTTAAATACAAATCTACATGGCACCATTATATATTTAAACTGTCCAGTCCACACTACTTCCCTCCATCCCTCGCACCAACTTACACAGTTAAAATATAATTCTGATTGAAAGACATCATGTTAATAAGAAACTTTCAACTATTCGTCAAGTTCTGATTTGGAATAGTGTTCGTTTGTACAGTCGAGCCTTGGGGGTTGCCCTGTGGAATGCTTTGGGAAACTCCTTTGGGAATACCTTGTTGGATTCCCGGTGTCATTCCAGGAGGAAATCCTTGCTGTATTGTTGCTTGCTGGGGAATCCCTTGCTGTTGGTTCATTCCATGTATCATTTGGGATTGTGTAGAAGTGAGTCCTTGAGGCATCATTTGTTGGGGAATGCCTTGTTGGGGAATTCCGGTTTGTTGAGGGAATCCTTGAAGTTGGGGCATTCCTGATTGTTGGGGCAATCCTTGAGAGATGTTCAGGTTCATTCTGGAGCCAGCATTGTAAGGATAGAACTGTTGTGGGGTGGAAGTTCCTGAAACAGGGTAATTACCATATTGTTGGTATGGAAACATGGGCTGCATCATGGACTGAAGCATCTGCTGTTGACGTATTTGTTCAGAAATGTAATTTTGAGACATGGCGGTAACGTCAATGCTGGATCGTCGACTGTTAGCCGTGGATCTGTTCGGGTAATTTGGATCTAAATTTGTCGCACTTAACGTCTCTGGTGGTTTGACAGGATTTGATGCCGATGCTTCTGGGGCTGGGGCTGGGGCTGGGGCTCACCCTGCATCCCAGGGGGCCATTTCCATCTCTTGTCGGATCTCATTCAAACTTTTCTTGGAGTCTTGTTTCGGAGGCATTTTGGCTGGTAAGGAAAGGTCAGTGTATTTGAACAAATCGTCTGAAAATGTTCGTTTTTCTTTTTCCATAGCCTTCTGATTCTGATTGGCTGTAATTGATGACATGACAACTGGTGATATTGGTATTCCACCAATCATTGGGCTCATTGATGCTGACGACACGCTACTGCTCCCGCTGGAAATTGGTGGCATCAAACAGGCCATCGTTAAGCCTTTCTTCTGTAAAAATGCTGAGACTTCTCGTTGTTGCCGATTGTGAAATTCCATTTTTTCTTTCTGATGCCTGAAAATATAAAATAATATTTTTTTTATTGAGAACTGTTACAATTATATAACTGTCATGTCAAAACCTTCTTTCTCAAATTTTAGCATCGATTTGCAACATCAACCAGGCCTCAGTTATCTTATTATTTTAAGTAACCAGGCATCAGTTATCTTATTATTTTGAGTAACCAGGCCTCAGTTATCTTATTATTTTGAGTAACCAGGCCTCAGTTATCTTATTATTTTAAGTAACCAGGCCTCAGTTATCTTATTATTTTAAGTAACCAGGCATCAGTTATCTTATTTTGAGTGATCAGGCCTCAGCTATCTGATTATTTTAAGTAACCAGGCCTCAGTTATCTTATTTTGAGTGATCAGGCCTCAGCTATCTGATTATTTTAAGTAACCAGGCATCAGTTATCTTATTTTGAGTGATCAGGCCTCAGCTATCTGATTATTTTAAGTAACCAGGCATCAGTTATCTTATTTTGAGTGATCAGGCCTCAGCTATCTGATTATTTTAAGTAACCAGGCCTCAGTAATCAAATTTTGAGTGATCAGGCATCAGTTATCTTATCATTTTAAGTAACCAGGCTTCAGTTATCTTATTATTTTGAGTAACTAGGCATCAGTTTTCTTTTGAGTAACCAGGCCTCAGCTATCTTATCATTTTGAGTAACCAGGCCTCAGTTATATATCATTTTGAGTAACCAAACCTCAGTTACCTTATCTTAAGCGTGGAATTTTACATTATTAAATACCTCATTTTGACAAAAATGTAAGCAATACAGGACCAGATTTTGTCTTTGAGTGAGATCAACAGTAAGAAACCTCAACTACGACATAAAATGATTTAACAGTTACCTAATGATCATCTCTTTATACTCATTGTCATCTTCTAGTTTATACACTTCCTTCTCACCAGAGGGCGTGACTGGTGGTGTTTTCTTCTCTGAATCATTGATTTTATCAGGGGATACTGGAACTTCAACCTTCTATAAAATATATTCATATAGAATTAAGTACAAAGTGTTAATGATTCTATTATGGGCATCAATTGTGTGTAAGGTTTGAATCAATCAAAGATATGTATGTAAGGAAGTGTTCAGGATGATATATACTAGCAATTTTTCTAGCAAAGATATGAATGAACAGCTGCTGGTAAAGATGTATTTCAGATTGGATTGTTGGAGACACAAGAAAACCATTGAGATGTTCTCCAGATGCAACAAGTCAAAGCAGCAGTAGAACAAACAACTGCAGTACATTGCCAGAAATAAGATATTTTTCATCCATTGAAAGACTTTCAGTGAAATATAGGTGTTGATGGTATTTTTTAGTTCTTTTTTGGTTATTCAGTTAATAATTTTAAAATGTTAAAAAACAAATTTTGTTAGGGTTATTTGCACAACAATGAGAAGGTTAGCCTGTGAATTTTGTTAGGGCAGCTTCTGGGCATTGGTGTGAGTGCATAGGATTTTTATGGACACCCCCAACTCCCCTCCTTAAAGGAATTTAAAAAAAAATGATCAGAAATTAAGGAACGAAAGAAAAATTGGGAATATAAGTCAAATAAAAGTCTCAAGTCTTCTAAAGAATATATAATCAAACTGAATAAACTAAAAATAAAATAAACTAAAATTACCTCTTGCCGTTTTAATGGTGTTCGAAGTTTCGGGTCTTTTTTGAGAACAGCAGGGGAAGTTTGGGTGGAGGAGTCGACAGAGTCACTTGGGAGAAGCCGATCACCGTATGATTTGACATTATCAGAAACAGAAAGATCAGACAAAGAGCCGCCACCAGAGTCAGAAGAGGTGTAAATATATGAAGGGAGGCATGCAATAGATGCAGAGCGTTTCTTTTTGAGAAAACGAGGCCCGCATAAATCAAATGAAGCTGCTCGATGAAGCTGAAGGGTTAACCCTTCTTTGTTACCTAAACTAGAACTAGAGCTACTTGGTACTTCACAGTTCAAGCGATCTAGCCAGCGACTAATACTAGCAATGCGAGGGAAGTTTGAGTTAGGGCTAGGATGAGGTCTGGGAGAGGATTGGCTAGCTAGGGTAGGGGAAGCAGGATGCTGAGAAGCAGCAGGAAGCTGTGAATCTGTGTTAGTAACAGGGACGTGTGAACTTGCCTTGTCCACAGAAGTGTTAGTGTCTGAATCCGTCACCAAAGGTGTCTCTGTGGAAGCTTCTTCTTTGGAAACATTTGTGACACCATCTTTGATCTTGGTCACTTGGAAGCGTCCCTTCTTCTTCTCAATTGGCTTCTCCTCTGGAGGTTCTTCTGGTGACTTTTCATTGCCTTCTGGAGAAGATTCTTCAGTATCCTCCTTAACAGCTTCCACAATGAACCTGGATCGTCTTTTCACCGAGTCCCTCTTGATGACTTTAATCTCAATTGGTTCTTGCTCTGTTGACGACTCAATGACATCAGGTGTGGCATCTGATGAGTTTTGGGTCACTGGAAGGCTTGGTGACTGGGTCTGTGAAATGCTTGCTTGAGAACCGCTACTGGGGACTTCTTTCCTGTTTCCAATGACCATCATAATAGCTTGTTCCAGGTTGGCGAGTCCAGCATTACTGGCATTGTTCTTCTTTCCGTCTTGACTGGAGTATTGCGAATGGGATTGTACCAAGATATCCTGACCTGATTCATCTCGGATGAGTCTTCTGGATTGGGATGGTGACCGAGGCGGAGATCCTCCATTACTGTTACATGCCTCACTCTGAGGTAGAGACGGTTGATTTTGAAATTGTGGGTACATCTGACTAGGGAACATAAAATTGGGAAAAAATAACTGTTGAGGCATCATATACTGTTGAGGAGTCTGGGCAGACTGTTGGTGCATCTGCTGCATATACTGCATCTGATGCTGGTAGTTCATCATCATCTCTGGAGTCACCGTTGGATAATAGGGCATGTACATTCCTTGCCCTTGAGGGTACTGGTAGCCAAACATCGGTGGCTGCCCTGGGAATTGTGGGTACTGACCCATTTGCACCCCATCTGAAACGCCTGGAGTGCCCATCATCTGGGAATGACCAGGAGGCCATGCATTGCTACCTTGACCAGGCATTGCTCCTGGATCTACCATACCACCAGGTGGTTGAGGATGCTGTGGACTTGAAGATCCTTGGAGAGGCATGCCTCCTATTTGATTGACAGCCGGGAGTACATGTTGAGGGTCTTGACTCAAGTTTAAATGTTCA